GATTGCCCGAAGAGGCCCTTCAAAGTTACCATTCCACAATTACCATGCACACAAAACAAAAAGGCAACGGTCCGTTCAGACTATAACGGATACATGACGAATTAACACATTCACAAGGAGGCAACCAGGAAAGAAGGATGCAACAAGTTAGTCATGACAATACACCACAGTACAAACATACAAAAGAGCTTGGCTACATCAATAAACAACTCGGTCATAGAGCAGAAAGGAATATTTTTTCATTTCATCAAAGGTACATTGAGATTACAACAGAATACAAGATCTGATGAATTCGACGAAGAAAGCAAAGGAAATCATTCAGCACGAGGTTGCAACCCTCGAACCAAGATTCGATAATACCAGGCATGATAAAACAACTCGAACGTACTTTTCTCCAAAGGAAGAGCGCACATCCAAGATTGCTATAGGTGACAGAGAAGGCACCCACAAGTCATTCAAGATTAACAACGACAACCACGTCAATATGGAAGAACCCGGCACCATCTCTCAACACGTGCTGATCTGTATTGGACTGAACCTAAATGGCACAACAGGAGACTGAATAATGGCTGATCTACAATGGACTGTCGAAGAACAAGCCAGAACACGCGCCAATCATCACTGTAAGAAGAACAAAAAAGAAAGGGCAGGCACTGGAAGATGAGGCAACACAACATGCATCACTCACATCACAAGTCCTACACCATTTGCCTCAATATCCCTTACAACTAAATACCACCTCGAGACTAGCCTGCTACTAGTCTCTATCACAAGACCTACACCATTTACTAGCAGAAGAAAACAGAAGAAAGAGAACAGGCCCGGGGGCTCGTCGAGCTCCCAAACTATAATATCCATGACTACAAAAAGAAAAAGAAGAAACTGCACAGCAGGGTATCAGCAACAGGCCATATTTATAGCATAACTCAGATGCACATATGGCAGACTCATGGAAGAAAAAAGAACTCCAAAAGGACAACCATGTGAACCACTGCAGAGCTAGGACTTCAGTAAAAAATCAGATGTGACTAGACCATCACGACGGAACAGTACATACCCAGAACAACCACAATACAAGATAAAGCATATCCAAGAGAATATTCCACAGCAGCAATACAACCCGTGAAGACACATTGAATTCTCCAACAACCAGAATGACAGCGGCAATAAGCAGCCGAACAAACAACTCAGAGATGTGTGAAGGATCACATACAAAATTACAGTGTCAAAGGATTACAGTTGAAAAAGAACTCGGACGGAGAAAAATTATAGATCTCATTGATCGAAGACAAATACAAAGGTTTCAGACGGTCAAACAGGACCGAATAAACTCAGACATAAGATAGAGACAAGATTCTTAAATATTGCAACAAGGAACCTAGTGGCGGTAGCAGCGGAAACTCGGACGTAGAAGAACAGATAGAGTAGCATGATCATTACCAACCAAGCATAAACCCGGGGGCTGCTCAACCTCACACACCAGCATATCTACGAATGAAGAAAGAATTGAAGAAGAATTTTCCTACTCAAGGCAGAACCACAACCAACAAAGAAGGTATTTAGAGCAAACCAGAGGTAAACAAGGCTAAAGATCACAAGAAAGAGAGAGGAAAAGAACAAAAGAGCAAAGCAACAAAGGCGAATAGTACCCAAAAGCAAGATTCCTGACAAAAAGTAAAAGAAGACGCTCACTCATGGCTATACAAGACCCATCCGTGACCAACAAAAGACAAAGATCAAAGGAGTACAAATCAAGACCCTTCTTCCAGCTTCTTTTCAACAGAAAAGAACCCGGAGAAGGCTCGAGGGCTGCAAGTACCTACCACAGAAAAACATATTTTCAAATTTTTTGACCCTCCAGCTTTTTTGTACCGGAGGAAAAAGAATCCGGAGGACATCAAGCAAAAGTGCACACCAGCCAAAAGAAGAATCAAAGAAGACCATCTCAAGATTTCACTTCAAGACTACAATAACTCGGCCCTTGAAGCTCAATCATGAAATGCTCGGGGGCTTGTCGATGGGGAACCCTATGGGCCCCCCATAGACCACACTACAGGGAGGTAGGCCTTGGTAACAAGGCCTATAGCCCAATCGCCAAAAAGAACGCGGAGCAAGGCAACGTGCAAAACCGAAACTCCAACTCAAACTAAACAAGGAAAGGCGCCTGAAGCATAGCTTAGGACTCTGACCTTGTATCCGAATAGGACACAAACAACGCCTCTTAGCGCCTAGACTATAAAGGGCTGGTGAGGATACCCATTGTAAGGAGAGAACGCATACCCGATACTCAAAGCAATACAACGCAAACAGGCTAACGCCAAAACTAGACGTAAGGTTATTACTCGACCAAGTCGAGGGCCTAAACCAGTATAAATCGTGAGTCTCTTTGCGTAACCGCTGAATTCCACTATTCGCCAAAGCACGAACAACTGTCCTGGGTACCCCCGTGGCAGGCTATCAGTGGTAAAACATCGACAAGCGCCCGATCGGATAACTTCGGTCACCGTATAGGGTCCTTCCCATGGTGGAGAGAGTTTGTGCTTCTCCTTGGTCTATGGCCCTACGTCACTCGTCGTCGAAGCGACGTAGGTGCTGCTTGGCGGGCTTCGAGCCCGGGATGAGGTGTAGTGCGTGCTCAGCGATGTCCCGCGGTATGCTTGGCATGCCAGATGGTTTCCATGCGAAAGCATCATGATTGGCGTGTAGAAAGTCGACGAGCTCGCATTCCTATTTGACCGGGACCTGGGTCCCGATCCGCACCGTCTAGGTTGGGTCAGTGGGGTTGATCCCCACCGCCTTAGTTTCCTCGAGTGGGCGGAAGGCCATCGAGGGGGTTGGCTTGTTATAGTCCGGGACTGCTGGGTCGACAACTCCCCGAGCCGCGGGAGCTTGGAAGAGTTGATGACGGCAGTGGTGAGCTCGTAATGCTCGCGGTTGCACGTGAAGGCGTTCGAGAAGGTGCTACCCATAGTGATGACGTTGTTCGGTCCCGGTATCTTCAGGTTTAGGTAGGTGTAGTTGGGGACCACCATGAACTTGGCGTAGCATGACCGCCCCAAGATGGCGTGGTAAGACCTCGAGAAGTCCACCACCTCGAAGGTGAGCACCTCCGAGCGGAAGTTGGCTCGGTCGCCAAACATGACGGGCAGGTCGATCTGTCCGAGCGGGTATGCTTGCGCTCCCGGGATCACACCGTGGAAGGGAGAGCTCACCGGTCGGAGCTCCGACCAGGGGTTGCGCATGGTGTCGAGGGTGTCGATATAGAGGATGTTGAGGCCGCTGCCTCCGTCCATTAGCACCTTGGTGAGGCGCTTCTTGCGGACGATGGGGTCAACGACGAGTGGGTAGCGCCCCGGTCTGGCGATGTGAGACGGATGGTCCCTCCAATCAAAAGTGATCGGAGAATCTGACCAGCGGAGGAAGGTGGGGACGGCCGTTTCGGTGATGCATGCCTCTCTGTAGCGCACTTTGTGCTGGCGCTTGAAGTAGACGGCATCGGACCCCTCGAAGATCATGTTGCATTCCCTGGGATCGAGAAAGCCGTCCCCATCCTTGCTTGCCGCGCCTCCTTTCTTGGCTGCCGCCTCCTTGCCTTTTCCTTCTTTCGGCCCGCCGACCTATCGTAGGAAACGCTTGAGGAGCTCGTAGTCCTTGTTGAGGTGCTTGATGGGGCACTCCCGGGACAGAGGATGGCTAGGTGCCACGACTCGCCGATGCTGGAGCCGTTGCTCTCAACATCTTCATCCATGAGGTCGTGAAAAGAGGCAGGAGCGTAGCTCGCCATCCCCACGAATTCGGTTGTGAGAGGGTGCGGTGCCAGCATCATTCGAAGCCCCCGGGCGTACACGTCCGCGGGGGACGCGAGGCCGTAGGGGAACCGGTCGCATGGCGGTCGCGACAGGGACAACGGGTCCCTCCGGAGAATCAGTGAAAGACAGTAAAGAGCAAGTAAATAACAAAGCGTACGTTACTCACGGTTGGGTTTGAGCCCTGCGCGGGCTCGGAGCGAAGCGCAGGCGCCTCGTCGTTGACGTCACCGGGTGTCCTGGAGCCCACGGAGGGCGCCCCTCCGGTGGGCGCCGGAACGAGTGCCTCCTCGCGGAGGTGAAGCACGCCGAGCCGGTCGGCGACGAAGTCCAGGCTTTCGAAGAGGAAGGCCTGGGACGGCTCGAAGATGGGTGGAACCCACATCCCAACAGGTGGGAGTGTGGGAAACTCCAGTGAGCCGAAGTGAGTCGTATCGCTCGAGCCCGTCATGGCGAAGGTGGCGGAAAGGTTGGCTATCCGATGATAAAAACGTGAACGTACAGCGTTCTTCCCACGGATGGCGCCAACTATCGGTGCAGAAAGTGACCAACACATAAATGAGCCGTCTCTCATCCTGCTCTCCACTCTGTCCTTACCTTCGCATTTCTTTTTCCCTCTTTTCTCCAGCAAGCCCTCGTTTTTTTTTGCTACTGCTACTCGCGCCTTTAGATCACCTCCAAATTTCAAGTTTTTTCACTCTCTCCATCACATCAATTTTTGGACGCATGCATGGAGCATTAAATGTAGGTAAAAAAAATTAATTACACAGTTTAGTTGTAAATCACGAGACGGATCTTTTGAGCCTAGTTAGTCCATGATCGGACAAAGTTTGTCAAATACAAATGAAACGTGCTACAGTGTCCAGGTTGTAAAAATTTGCAATCTAAACCAGGCCTCGATATAGACAGTACTTAGAAAGCCTACGCATACTAGTAGGAGTAGCCTGTTAACAATTCCCGTAGGCCATCTGAGAACTGCAGTAGTACTAAGGGCCAACGGAGAACGGATAAGGCTGTGGCAAAGCACTCGATCTCTATGTACTGTAGCAGTGCGTGTGATCGAAAATTCCTGTGCCTACTGACGACCGATTTGAAATGGATGCCATCCCTCTACGGCTCTACGCGGCTTGTCTCTACACGTAGAGCCAGCCATGAGTCTAGTAGCGTAGTAGACTGTACGGACGGAGTAGAGGGATGGCTCCATGTCTGCCGACAACTGACGGACTGAAAATACTCATGGAGCCATGTCCCTGCGCGACTTGCCATTGCAGGACCTGGGTGCTCGTCTGTGGCCTACGGAGCTGCCCAGGAGCTGGGCCCGTTCCTGGTGAGGAGCTACGGCACGAACCTCACGCGCAACGCCTACGCATGGAACAAAGGCAAGCAGTTCAACCAAAGCACAGACATTATGCTTCAGCTCTGCTAGTACTTATACTCTCTGAAACTCTGAATTTTACTTCACTTTTCCATAAACTGAAATCTTGTGTGGTTGCGCGTTGGATTGGCAATGGCTTTTCAGCCGTGAACCTGCTGTTCCTGGAAGCGCCGGTGTGCGTGGGGTTCTCATACACGAACCGGACGTCGGACCTGCGGCGGCTGGGCGACCGCGTCACGGCGCAGGACTCGTACAGCTTCCTCCTCAGCTGGCTCGACAAGTTCCCCGTGTTCTAGGGCCGCGACTTCTACATCGCCGGAGAGAGCTACGCCGGTAATCATAAGCCTTCATCATACGTGCCAAACCTCTGCTCTGTTTTCTTAAAGCTGCATCATCGTGATCTGCGAACGGCCGCTGCATCTGCCGTGTTACGCTTTTGTATTGTAGGGCACTACGTCCCACAGCTCGCGGAGCTCATCTACGAAGGGAACAAAGGCGCGAGCAGGGACAGGGCCATCAGCATCAAAGGCTTCATGGTAAGCATGCCTCACTCACAACATCAGTGTGTGTAACAAAGGAAGTTGAGAGACCTCTTACGCTTGCCAAGTTGCCATCATGCATGCCTGTAGGATTGCTTGCTTTGCTTGGTTCCAGGCAACCAGCTTTGACGCAGCAAATCAGGCATTAGCTAGTGTTCTAGAAAGATATAAAGCGAACAAGGAAAGGAAAAGAGAGTGAAATGAGTCAGTACTGCGCCGTAGTAAAAGTTGCTGACTCTAAAGATGACGGACATAAGCGTGCATCAGGATATACCCCGCCCCGCGAGCTTTACCGCTTTACTTAGTTTTTTTATTATTAAACATCCAATAACCATTGCCCTGTTCGTTTGGACTTGTTTAGCTGATAAGTCGTCATTTTGAAAATACCGTTTATTATTAAACATCCAAAAGTAAGGTTTCAAAAAACACCCGATTTTAAAAACATCAAATGGGTAAAAGGCGCGGTTTGTGGCAAACAAACCCCTTTTACCTGGGTCGTGGCATGCAGTAACAGTTTCACGCATGCTGGATGTTGCATGCTGCTGCATTGCATCGTGCGCTGCTCTGACCTCTCTGAGAAAGAAAAGCAAAAACCATTTCTGCAACTGCCAAGGTTTAATTTTTGCACTTGCAGATCGGGAACGCGGTGCTGAACGACGCGACGGACCAGCTGGGCATGGTGGAGTACGCGTGGAGCCACGCCATCATCTCGGACGAGCTCTACTCGGCGGTGCGGCGGGAGTGCGACTCCTTCAAGGAGGAGGCCGACAGCGGCCGGCCCGGCAAGGGCTGCTCCCCGGCGCTCCGCGCCTTCCTGGGCGCCTACGACGACATCGACATCTACAGCATCTACACGCCGACGTGCCTGCTGCTGAACAACGTCTCCTGCGCCCGCGCCTCCTCTCCAAGCATGTACGTATATGTACTCGTCTGTGCTGACTGACTGTTTTCCCCCCCCTCGTGGAACTGGACACTCGCAGGAGGAGTGGCACAGGCTGATGAAGCGTGTGCCGGCCGGATACGACCCGTGCACGGAGGCCTACGTGACCAAGTACTTCAACCGCGGGGACGTGCAGCGCGCGCTGCACGCCAACCGGACACGCCTGCCCTACCCGTACTCGCCCTGCAGGTCAGACAGCACTCCGCAGTTACTGTTTCTCTTCTCTCTGCATATATACTGCCAGTGCCAGCCATGGACCCGTGTGCACGTGCACCGTACGCTCGTCGTCGTCGTCCCCAATTACTCTTCCATCTGCCACCACCGGCCCGTTCCTCCTCAGATATGGGCAACTTGCGTGCGCGTTGACTCTGCGTCGCACTCGCACGCGGCACGCCCCGGTCGCCGGCTGGGATGCCTCTGCTGCGTGCGAAGGCTGCATGCTTTGTTTACTCATTCCGTGTCTGTGCTGCAGTGAGGTCATCAGGAAATGGAATGACTCGCCGGCCACCGTGCTGCCCATCCTCAAGAAGCTCATGGCCGCCGGGCTGCGCGTCTGGGTCTACAGGTATTCCTCCACTTGTGAGCAATTTCTATCCAGCCTTATTTTATTATCCCCGATGATGCTGAGCTGAAACCCTGCGATGGCATGTCACGTTGCATGCAGCGGCGACACGGACGGGCGGGTGCCGGTGACGTCGACGCGGTACAGCATCAACACGATGGGGCTGCGGCCGCGGCGGCAGAGGGCGGCCGCTTCTGCTTCGGCAGGCAGTGTGGCCGCGCCGGAGTGGGGCAGGCGTGGTACTACCGGCAGCCAGCGCCGGATTTATACTCGGTAAATGGGGCGGTGGATAATTTTTATTATCTAGCGCGAAGATATTAATAGATATATATGACAAAATTTTACTACCGTCATATTACTATTTTTTATTGCAGCAGGTGGCAGGGTGGCCGGGTGGGCGGTGGAGTACGAGGAGGGGCTGACGCTCGTCACGGTGCGCGGCGCGGGCCACCAGGTGCCGCTCTTCGCGCCGGACCGCTCGCTCGCCATGCTCTACCATTTCCTCCGGGGCCAGGCCCTGCCGGCCGCACGCTCCTCCGGCTAGCTCACCGATGATCCAAGTTGCCCGATCGCGTTCTGGTTGGCTAGCAGCAACTGGGCACGTGTAGGTAATGCAATGGCGCTGTGTTGTGTCGATGTACCACTCCAAATCTGTACCGACAAAACGGGAAAAATCAATGAATCCAATGGAGAAACTGATGCAAGGTTCCATGAAACTGTTTGTCCTTCTCCCTCGTATGTGCAACAAGCGCACAAGACCCACCCTTTACCTGTAGCCACCTCTTCCTCCTCTTGTGCCGCTCGGGGCTTACAGCGTATAGCTATCGATTTCTGAGGACTGCAGTCACAGAAGACAACCAGACCACGCCCTAACGACTGACAAGCCTTCGTTTAAACCCCAGAGAACGTAGTGCAGTGAAGTGTTCCACCTGAAACATTACAAAGAGACGATAAGCTCAAGTTCTTGGCTGTGATCCAGATCACAGCATCGAAGTACCACTTTCCAAAACTCAAATCATAGCAGGATAAAGATAAAACAAAAGCCTGAACAATCAGATAGTGTGCTCTAACTGTTATAAAAGTAAAACATAAGCAGAAATGTATTCCCATATCTCAGTGTCTGATACCATATCTTATTAAGAGATTGCACAATACCGATGAACTGTTCAACTAATAACTCAAACTATTAACATCATTTAACGATAAAAGTCATAACACAGCTAGAAATACCAGACAACATGCAGTGATAATTAGGAATTCAAAATCCGTGGAATACAGAAACGGCACTCTAAATTAGCCCCAACACGAAATACTGTACAACATAATGCTGCAAGGCTGTGGGTTTTTATTTTATCCTTTAAACATGACTGATTGATTTCAGATGAACTAGTCTTTAACAATGCATCTATCACCACAGATGGGGGCTTATACCGTATAGCATTCGTTAGCAGCAACAGATCAATCAAAATACCAAAACAATAGTGTAGCTAGTGGATAATCCTAGCAGCCAGAAAAAAAGTTATTCACCTCATGTGTAAGAATTAAACCTGAAATCCAATAAGACAGCTATTGGAACACAAAAAGGGTTGCACCTTGTGACTGTCCATCACGCTGAGGATGGCTCTTCCGTTCCCTTATTCACCCTAGCTCCGCCTCAACCGAGGTTCGGCAAATCACTGCCAACAGGATGAGACACAAGAAAGACAGGGCAGAGCTCGATGACCTTATTTTTAGCTTTGTTGATTCTTTACACCACCAACAACAAAGCCTTTAAGTTCCAAACAAGTTAGGGTAGGCTAGAGTTGAAACCCAGCAGAAGCAATCAAGATTCAGGCACGTGAATAGCTGTCTTCCAAGCACTCCTATCTAAGGCCAAGTCTTTGGGTATATTCTATCATTTCAAGTCTCCTTTTATTGCCTCTACCCAAATCAACTTCAGCCTTCCTCTGTCTCTCTTTACGTTACTATCCTGGCTTAGGATTCCACTACGCACCGGTGCCTCTGGAGGTCTCCGTTAGACATGTCCAAACCATCTCAACCGGTGTTGGACAAACTTTTCTTTAATTGGTACTACCCCTAATCTATCACGTATATCATCGTTCCGAAATCGATTCCTTCTTGTATGACCGCAAATCCAACGCAACATACGCATTTCCGCGACACTTATCTGTTGAACATGTCGTCTTTTCGTACGCCAACATTCTGTACCATACAACATAGGAGGTCTAATCGCCGTCCTATAAAACTTGTCTTTTACCTTCTGTGGTACCTTTTTGTCACATAGGACACCAGATGCTTGCCGCCACTTCATCTACCCTGCTTTGATTCTATGGCTAACATCTTTATTAATATCTCCGTCTCTCTGTAGCATTGATACTAAATATCGAAATGTATTCTTTCTAGACACTGCTTGACCTTCCAAACTAATATGTTCCTCCTCCCGAGTAGTAGTACCGAAGTCACATCTCATATACCCAGTTTTAGTTCTACTGAGTCTAAAACCTTGGACTCCAAAGTCTCCTGCCATAACTTCAATTTCTGAGTCACTCATGTCCGGCTTTCATCAACTAGCACTACATCGTCCACGAAAAGCATACACCAAGGGATGTCCCCTTGTATGTCCCTTGTAACCTCATCCATCACTAAGGCAAACAAATAAGGACTCAAAACTGACCTTTGATGTAGTCCTATCCTAATCGGGAAGTCATCTGTGTCTCCATCACTTGTTCGAACTCTAACCACAACATTGTTGTACATGTCCTTAATGAGCCCGACGTACTTTGTTGGGACTTTATGTTTGTCCAAAGCCCACCACATAATATTCATTGGTATTTTATCATAAGCCTTCTTCAAGTCAATAAAAACCATGTGTAGGTCCTTCTTCTTCTCCCTATACCGCTCCATAACTTTTCTTATTAAGAAAATGGCTTCCATGGTTGACCTTCCGGGCATGAAACCAAATTGGTTCATAGAGACCCGCGTTATTGCTCTCAAGCGATGCTCGATAACCCTCTCCTATAGCTTCATATGGCTCATCAACTTAATTCCCCGATAATTAGTACAACTTTGAATATCCCCTTTATTCTTGTAGATCGGTACCAATATACTTCTTCTCCACTCATCAGGCAACTTGTTCGATCGAAAAATATGGTTGAACAGCTTGGTTAGCCATACTATAGCTATGTCACCGAGGCATCTCCACACCTCGATTGGGATACCATCCGGTCCCATCGTCTTACCTCCTTTCATCCTTTTCAACGCCTCTCTAACCTTATATTCTTGGATTCTCCGCGCAAAGCGCTTTATTGGTGTCATTAAAAGAGTCATCCAACTGAAAGGTTGTGATCATATTCTCACCATTGAACAATTTGTCAAAATACTCTTACCATCGATGTCGGATCTCATCCTCCTTCACCAAGATATGCTCCCTTTCATCCTTAATGCACTTAACTTGGTTGAAGTCCCTTGTCTTTCTCTCACGAACCCTAGTCATCCTATAAATGTCATTCTCTCCTTCCTTCGTACTCAAATGTTGGTAAAAATCCTCGTACGCTCTACCCTTTGCCACACTTACAACTCGCTTTGTAGTCTTCTTTGCCACCTTGTACTTCTCTATATTGTCCACACTCCTGTCATGGTACAAGCATCTATAGCATTCTTTTTTCTCCTTAATAGCCCTTTGGACTTCCTCGTTCCACCACCAAGTGCCTTTAGCCTCGCATCCACTTCCTTTGGTTACTCCACACACCTCTGAGGCCACTTTACGAATGTTGATTGCCATCTTCTCCCACATATTGTTTATGTCCTCTTCTTCCTTCCAAGAGCCCTCTTTGATAACCCTTTCTCTAAATACCTCTGACGTCTTCCCTTTCAGTTTACACCACTTTGTTGATTCTTTATAAAAATGAAAATTTGATGATTCTAGAAAGAATGTATTTCTTAACAGTTATCACACAGAGAATTACTAGGCATCATTTACCCTTGTTTTCTTATACTGGCGTCGTCATGCATTCTTGAGATACTTGTTTTGTGCATTACGATTCTTGAAAAGGGAAGGTTTCCTTGGAAAATGCAGCAGATCTGCTCCAGACATGACGCAACAATAATAATCAAAGCTTCCCTACTACGTCAAGCGTGTCAGAAAAGCTAAAATACAATATAGAAAAACATGAACAGTCGTTAGCATTTTTCTCCAATTCACAAAGTTCAGCGAAAACTTTTAGCCTATTATCAGGCTTTATGCAGTGAATTCATGCTGTTTTGAACTTTAGGTCTCTCTAAAGGTATGGAAATATGTGATACAACAAAACTTTCAATATGATATTTTCCCCTATAGATTGAGCCATTTTATAGATCACTCACCTATTAGCAAAAATACCCTTACATAGCTTTATTGCACATTTATATGCATCACTGTTGGAAAAGCCTTCTCAGTTGCCTATGTAAGCCAGGTGGGTGTGAATACAAGAATTTCAAATATGAGGCACAGAAGCCTTCTGCTTATTATGCTAGTACAACATCACCACCACTGTTATCTAGACCTTGCAAGGGCAGCTGCTGCTGTTGCCTCAATCTCATTTCGAAGTCCTCCAAATATTCTCTGCTGTTGATCTCTGTCAACCTGTAAAAGCACAAGCCAAAACAGAAGGCACTAGTAAAATACGAGCCTCAAGGGTTGATTGTGATTTGTGATTCGACATGGGAGGAAGAGCACTAATCTGAAATCTGCATACATCAGCATGCACACATTTCCAGTTACCTGCTAATCGTTCGATCCTTGGCAAATCCAAGCTCATTGTCCACACATAGGTCAGGGTCGTCGCTTTTCTGTGAGCGCGAATATCTTGGTGAAACCTTCTGTGCTTCAGCAACAGTCACGATATTCTCAAACAGTCCTACTGGTCCAGCCTCGGCTGTACATAACAGCCTTGCTTTGTTCTCGTACATAACCTAAAAAATCATTCAGTATTTCAAGATAACAAAATGTAGGCTGTAGTATGCAAAATCTATTGGTGGAGAGTTTTAGAATTCAGATTGAAGGAAAAAACATTTCTGTTTACATTCAAGTATCCAATTTTTAAGTACTGCATGTAATCAGATCTAATCTATGATAGAACCTCCTTAAGGCAACCACACTAAATGTTAAATTTTAAGGAGTCTTGAGTTCAAATACACAACAAATGGATGTCTGCACATAGTGAGGCTGAGACAAACTTAAACATAATAAAGTGAAAGAAAACAAGGACCATACATCAATCAGTGTGACGAACCGATAAGCTGCTGTTCTGTTACTAGACCCAAACTTTGGAACACCGTCAAGTGCCAGGGTGTGAAATTTTTCTGTAAGTCAACAATTGGTTATCAGTTAACAGGTTATGTCAAGTCCAAAATAATCAGGCAGCAATATACTTACTAAAGAGTCCAAAGTAATCTGCTGCACCTAAAGGTCTATCACAAAGATCTTCAAAAGGAAAATATGCACAACCATTTGCTCCCAGGGAAACCTGCAAAGTCATGGTTAAGTAATAAAAAATAATGTGTTTTAGTGGGCTGTTTTTAAATACTTCTACCATACCTGTAGTTTCCTTCCCATAATTACTTCAACAGTTTGTGGGCTGGGTTCCTCATCTCCAATTAAAGACTGGAGCTTCTGTTTCAGAAGCGTACTGTAATGTTTTCCAACAAAATAGAAACCTTGTTCAGCCTGCTCAGACATCAGTTTAAAGATGTCAGAGAAGGAAAGGGGGAAGAAACCAAGGACTACTAGCTTGCAGAAGTTGGTAACATACAGAACCCAGTTGACGATAGTCCACTGCAGATCCAATGGGGTGCACGATGCACCTTTCCTGCAATGGTCCACAAAAGTAAAAACCAACATACTTGCTTAATTGACCATGCAGAGAAATTGATAAATGTAAAACAACTCGTACTTTCAAGGTGTCAATAAATGGCAAGAAAAGGTCCCGTTGTAAGCCACCTTCATAAAGCTTATCTGGATCACGGTTAGAAGTCGAAACAAGAATCTGAGCACAAAACATGCAAATAAATCCATGTCAAAAGTTGATGCATTGTATATGTAACCTGAGTATGTTAGTCCCATAAGAAAATGGAAGAAAATAGTAGCCACATACAACGCCTTTGCTGAACAATTGTCTGAACAGCCGGTTCAGAATCATAGCATCAGCAACATCAGTTACCTGTGCAGTATAGTTGGGCTTGTTACTTACAAACATATATATAAGGACATAGGCGGAATATTTAACCTCAGAAAAGTATACCATAAACTCATCAAGACATAATATGATGGCCTCATCTGAAATCTCAGCTGCTACAACATCAAGAGGATCTGAAACACCTTTATGCATCTGCATACACACAAGTGTCATGAGAACAATTATCATATCTTCCTGAAGCTTGGAACAGGGTACTTCTGAAGGCAGTTTGCACATATAAACATTACCTGAAGACGACTATGTACATTCAACATGAAATCGTGAAAGTGAATACGTTTTTTTCTCCAATTACATGGCCTGCCAAGACAAAATAATATCAGTTATCTAAAGTGAAGAATGCACGCAAGTACCAACATTGTCTAAATATTATTGTACAGCCATGAGATTTGTATGAAACTCTGTTATTTCAAGATTATTTGGACAAAATTATCTTTCTGAATGTATAAAATGACAAGAAGGATATGCCAGCATTTCATTCTTTCCATCTAGTTTTTCCATCAACAAGAGAAATATGACAGGATTTCAGTTGGTCACAGTCACTACAGGTTCCAACTAAAAATTGGAGAACTGCGAAGACATCATGCAAAAATTTTGGTTATTTGCTTATGACTTATCTTTCATCTAAGCCATTTATCCTGGGAGTCCATACATTCTCATAGCCCAGCATCGCATAAATTTTGTGATATGTTCTACAGACAGTGCTGGGATGTAATCAGGGAAGATTTATAAACTGCTCATCAATCCCAAAATCGGAAAGCGTCACAAATTTCCACTAATGATTCAGTCATTACCTTAATGGCTAAGATTTATTGTACTATAATCAAATTGAATGATTTCAAGCCAATTTCTTAGCCTAGTTTTGCTCTTAGATTCTGAAAAAAGCTTTTAACCAACAGGCTGCAGAAGGTTATTCCTGGTACAGGTCATGGTAATCAATCTAGCTTCATTGACCAAGACCAATTCATATTTCAAGAAATATAGGCAAGGGAATTTCCTAATTAAGAAGTGTAGTTAATTCTGCAATGAGCAAGGATCAATGGTTTCATTGCCACGTGAAGTGCCTAAGAATGCAACTCACAGTGAACTATTTCTGGTTTCAACTCTATTTCTTCTATATGGCTTGTGCGGTTGTGTTACTAATAATGCAATAAATTGAGGTATAGCTTATATGTGAACAAAACAAACATACTTAATACAAACGAATTTTTGGCTGACATTTTATCTAACATGTTTGACCTAAGCAGATGAACATCAAAGTTTAGCATTGAGAATTCTCAAATATAGTGTAGTTGTTGTATCTCTGTGTATGTAGCACCCAGTGACAAGGAATTACAGATAAAACTACAATTGTCAAACTGCTAAATTCCTAAATCTCCTCATAGATAAAAAAATTGTCAATGTGCCAAGTTTTCAGAGTACAAGTCAACTGTCTAGAAAAATTGAATTGAGCATGAGAGCAACCAGTTAAAATTAGATTAATAAAAAAGGAGGCTATTTTCCTTCTGATAGCCAGCTACCATCTTCTGATTACATGCCATTGGCCTTCAAAAATTTTGACAACAATAGATGCTACTGTTAATACTAATGCATCTGTTATCTTTATAATGTGTTCTGTTAATTCACAATTGCGCATGATCTAAAAAGAATGACAAAGAAAGAATATTGACACTTAGAATGTGAATAGTTGCCATAACAGTTCTGATACACCAGAAGAGCAGTAACATATTCACAACTACTTTGTGATGGACTAGGAATAACGAGGACGGTTACAAATTCACGATTCATAACATTGCTATCACAAAGTGGTGTGACGGAGATCATATCCTAAAAGGCTAGAACTGATAGACTTACAGCTGTTCATAGAACAAGTCCATAAGCATCGTCTTCCCTGTACCAACACCGCCATAGAGGTAAAGGCCCTTAACTCGAGCATAGGTAGAAGGCTGAGTAATGAGACGGGACCATAGCCATCGACTCCTTCAATATCAAAGACTAAGGTTATTTTTTTTCCAAAAAAAAAAGACTAAGGTTAAGATAATAACAATATACAAAATATGTCACCTTAGTGCACTGAAACTGTTCTTACCGTCCTGATTTCTCAGATGATTTATATCTATCCAGCTGGCAGTCTTCTTCATTCTCAATCAACTCCTCATAGAGCCTTTGTAATTGTTGAATTGTATCAACCTGTATGAACCAGTAAAAAGGTCAGAAAACTTTTTACCACAGCATTGATCGGAAGCTATCCAAGAAATGTTCTTTGGTCAAAGACCAGAACAACACCTGAAAGCTATCGCCATCCACTAGCTCTCCTGATGCTATTCTCCTCTCATATTCCACCATCGGACCACCTCTTCCAATATCTACAGAAAAGTTCAAGAAAGCAAATAGGTTGATTCAAATGGCCCCCTAGAAGATAGAAATCACCACAAGTAAAAGAGAAATGAGAAGTGAACCTTTGATCGAATTAGCTACTACAGTAGAGAACATGGACCTCATCAACTCCATGCCAGGGCTTGTAAATCTGCTAATTTCACCATTACGACGTAACATGCTCAGTGAACTGGATGTTGAACCGCACATGATTAAAGCACTCTGCTGCCTGAACAATCTGGTTGCTTGTGAGTGCCTCTCTGCATGGTGCTGGGTGAAACGGCGGAGCTGGCGAAGTGACCGAACAACTGATCTCATCTTCCACTATGTATCTTATTTCTTCACTTTCTAGGCAAACACCATAAGGAAGTTATGAGCCTACAAATGCAGCAGACCAAGGAACCATTAAAGAATGATACATGGTACATATCCTGAGAGTAGCATATTACCGGAAAACACGCATCAATCATGTGGCATAAACAAGGTAAAGGCAAAAGTAAGCAAACAAGTTAAATAAATGGGGGTGGAAGCATGAGACATGGAATCTACCATCATAAAAGGTAATCAAGAAAATGACATGGAAAGGGTGCTCAGTAGTGAAAAGAAAAGCAGCTGCTAGTACATACTCTGCAATTAATAATTATAGTTCAATATAAATACCAATAAAAGAGCACTTAAAGTTTCCTGAGAAGAACTAGGAATCCGTATCAAATTGACCAGTATCACTACAGCTCCATCGATCGACTACAAGTTTCATGGCCAGATGAAATATATATTTATATAAGCCCTTCAAAGTAGGAAACCAAGAGCCTGAGATGGGTAAATTCTTGCACGACGGGCTAAAGGTAACGCCAGCTCCAGGATGATGGGAGTACTGTTACGAGTGCGTCTCAAAGATCGAAACTTGCTACAGATGGAGGAAGATGAAACAGTATCAGCACCTACAACTACAACCAGCAGCAGGTATAACAACAAATACACCAAATTGGGAAATCCAAGCTCCAAATTTTGCGGAATTACAGGGCAAATCAAGAACGACCCAGACAGCAATCCTGAAGGAACGATTAAAGTTTGAATAAAAAGAGCCGCCCAATCTCACCTGAGCGAGGAACTCCAGCGCACGAACAAGCGGTTGGTGGCTGGCCGCGCCCGAGCACGCCTTCCGAAGACGGATGCCGGCCTCGCCGCGTGCAGGCCGCGATGATCCGCTGCAGCACAGCAAGAGACGCCCCGTCGCCGCAACGCAACGCGGCCACCGGACGCGGCGATTTAGCAGCTGCCTGCGACGGTGGCGCCGCCGGCGAGCAGTCAAGCGTGAGGAGACAGAGAGCGAGGGGGCAGCGACGAGGCCTCCAGACAACTCTGTACTAGAACCACCTTTCCTAATCAAACCAATAATAGAGAACGGAAAGAAAGTCGAGAACAATCGAATCAGAATTGTACATAACAAACAAGAAGCCCGGACAATGAACCGAGACGGGGAGGAATACGGAATATACGCACGCACCACAAATCAGGAGAGGAATCGAACTCCTCGGGCCAGCCAGGAAACCGAAACCGCGCCGGCCGCCGCTGCTTCTGACCGCTCCGTCGCGGCCAGTATCCCTGGCTCGACAGCGACGATGCCCAAGGGGCGCGGGGGTTCTCTTCTCCTGGGAGGCTGGGACGTCACGAAACAGACCAGTCTGAAAAATGCGGCAGGAGGCTCCGGGCGTCGGGCCGGTGCCGAGGGATGGGAAGTTGGGAACAGGTCCACGCGTGAGCGTGAGCGTGAGCTGGAATTAAGGTGGGTGCTGCTGCTGCGCTTGGATAGGCGATTAATTAACAGTTCCGTGCACGGCTTTGAGTTGGAGCCTGGACAACGCAATTCTTTTATCGCGCCATTGTTGCTGCTTGCTGATACTGTACATGCTTAGGTCAGGTGGCGTTTTTTCTTTTTTGAATCAAGGTCAGTTGGCGTTTGGTTAATGGAAAAATTAGGAGTGCGACAGGAAAATGAGAGGTGGGAAAGGGAAATATATAGGAGCCCATATCGTGGTGGGCTTGGATTCAGATATCACTGTTAAATATCACCTCTCTTTTTTTTAGGAAAGGAAATTAGGAGGAGCCCTACTGGTTATATTATATATTAAATAAAGAATCAAAATAAAAGTTTACATGGTCAGGAGACAGAAAATAAAGAAGAAGGCATGGAATAATAGAAGGGAAATATTTCTTTTTCGCGCAATGGATAACCATGGCGAACTCATGGTTGAAGATGCTTCGCGCAATGGAATAATAGAGAGGATGCATTTCCTTTAAAATGTAATTGTTTCTTGTCATCTATACACTCCAACTCACTAGGACAATGATCTCCACAAAGAATTGGAGCCAAAGTTGGACAATGATCTCCGCAAAGAAAGGAAGCCAAAGTTGTGGCTTGAAGGCTCTGAAGATATCATATAACTATTGGGTGACATCAAAATGCAGAAAGAATGGAGCTCCAGTAGACTTCAACATCTCTTTGCCGCTACCGCCACCGCCAACCCTTCTTGAATGTGGATCACATTGCTATTCATTGGAATTGGAACGCACAACTCAGGGGCAAGGATGACAACCACCATGTTAATAGAAGGGCTTGTCGCGGGGATATCAGTGAACTACGGCACCATGGCACAATCTTTATTTGACACGCATGTGTCCTACCCACAAGCGACCCACACGTGAGGACACTAGCAAAATTTGAAGCGGTGGGCAGGGCTGCCGGCGGCGAGGTCTCCGCAGGCCAGAGAGGAGGAGGCGACGATGGGATTTTGGAATTAGGGTTTTGGATTTTCGCAAGAGCCCTCCATAGTCAGCGTGCTTAGAAAGAGAGGGGCCCGACCAGATGGTGGCGCGTTGAGGGTGGCGAGCGAGGTGGCGGGCGCACTGCTGAGCTGACGGTGCTAGCGGCGGGGGCGAGGTGGCAAACTTTTCTCCTCCGATTGGATTTAGGGGATGGCGGGGGTGGAGCGAAGGGGGTGGTTGAGCCGCTGGTCGGGGGCAACGATAGAGGTCAGAAGTGGGGATGGGCTGGCGCAATTCAACGGAGAAGAAGAAGAAGAAGACGTGGAGGAGATACAGTCATTAAAGAAGATGAACAATAGGAGAGAGAAAAAGAATTGTGCGCCACGTGCAGCAGCAGCACACACTAATAAAGGTTGTCCAGACAAAGGGGGCTGCGAGAAGGATAGGATGCTAAGTTTTTGTTTTTAGTTACAATAATGGGTCTAGTGGCAAAACCTTAACCCAAACCCAAACAAGACCCTCATGGGATCCACTCATATAAAGTTTAGTTACTAAAATTTAGATTAAAATCTCCAAATAGATGGTCTAAAGTTATGTCTAAACTTTATCTAACCTCCTAAAAAGCACATTAGACCATTAAACCACAAAAGTGAGCTAAAATGGTCTAAAGTTTGGGATCCTCTGACCCAAAGATAATTTTTGCACTCAAAACTCTTCTCCTCCCTCAAGGAATTCGCCCACAACTCTTCTCCACGTCGTCACACCCAAACTCCCATTGCTATCATGCCCAAGGAGTGGTGGCTACGACCTTGCGGCGATACCCAATGTATGGAGCTATGGCGGCAGTGTAGGACCGAGCTGTGGAGGCACCACGTCGGCCTAGTGGCAGTTGCAGCATTGCACAGGCGAGCTCTTGTGGCAACGGTGTCAATGCTAGGCGCTCGACGATTGCCGAGGGAGGGTCTCGATGGCGATAGCGACGGCACACAGGCTCGGCAGCTTGTGCTCGACGACGACGATGACGGGCTTGGCCACTCGAGGTTGACGGACATAGAGTACAGGTGCTGAAGAGAAACCTAGGGCCACATAATTCTTTTTATTGAATTAGATCTAAACTTTAGCCCATAGTCCAAACAATCTCATAACCTAAAGTTTAGCTCTTAACATAAAACTTTAGACTATGGATATGAATAGATCCTAACAAAAACATAAGTAAAGGATGAAATCTGAGTAACTGTTTGTCTAAACCATCTCATTATATCCCATCTGCATGTCCCTATCCCATATCCTATGGGCATCCAAATATCACCTTAGCTCCAAAAACGCATACAAATTTTGGAGGATCGTAATCCTATAGAAAATTTTCATATGTCTTTTTGGAATAAAGGATTAAACCTTACAAAAAGTCTTTTAGATTGCGATAGGATGTATGAAACCATAGGAATTTTAGAGAAAAACTAGCATGAGGTTGGATCTCATAAAAAACTTTCCTATATGTCTCTCTCTCTTTAAATTCGTGATTTTTTTCATATATATGTTATATCCAAAGGCCACAATAAAAACTTTTCTATTTCTATATCTTGAATTCCTATAGGATTGTAATTCAGTTCTATGCAACTCTAATTCTGTGTTTTTCATACTCTTGTGTTTTGAGCTTGGGTTCCAAAGAGGCTTCTCCGCGACAGCTATCAGAGATGCTACAGAACTTTGGTGGAACACCGTGCCTTATCTTGGGTCAGCGGCGGCTTCATGTTAATTGATGATGTGCACGAACCGACACCCAGGCTTACTATATATATATGTCCTGCTAGTGATCAGTCAGGTCATAGATTAATCTAATCTATAGTTACAACAACCTACGACTAGATAGAATCAAATCATAACAACTACGGTAATGCTCAGGGGCGGGTTTCCGTCTAATCGGACGCTGCCTTCCCAGGCCTGCGCACTACCAACCCAACAAGCCTCAGGGATATGTTGCAAGTGTTTTATATGGATGTTACATAAATAGATCGGGATGTTTGTATATGTTGCAAGTCTTTTAGAGGCATGTTGCAAGCGTTTCTTTAAAATGTTTCATCTGTTTCTAACGTATGTTGCAAGCGTTTTTGATCTGGATATTGCATATGTTTCACACATATGTTGCAAGAGTATGTTTTAAATGTTTCAGTTGTTTCATTCTTATGTCGTAGTAAGTGTTTTCATGTTATAAGGTGCAAGTTTTTTATCTGGATGTTGCATATGTTTCACATATATGTTGATAGTGTATGTTCCAAATGTTTCATCTGTCTTAGACATATGTTGCATTCAAGTGTTTGATGTTGCAAGTGTTTCGTGTTTCAGAGGTATGTTTAGAGAGTCATGGGGGCACGGCCTGAGCACCGAGGGAAGGGGCGCGCCAAGCGGGGGCCGACGGATGGGGCGCGAGGCACGCCTGGGTTCCTACAGATGGGGCGTGCTCATACTGTAACACCCTTGGTGTTACGCTTTAAACCAACTACTAAAACATGTCATGAGCATCATGTTTATATGATAATGCATGTGATAGAATGTGTAGATAAATTTTTTATAACTTAAAATGATCAATAAAAATGTTAAATGAAAGTTGATTCAATAGCTCATGTATATCAAGTAAGGTTGAAAACCAATTTTTATTAAGCAACAATACTATATAACATGTGTGTGATACTTAAATAAAGTTTGAAGTACAAACTTTATAGATGACAATGCAACTTTTGCTGTAGAGAAATAACATTGCTAGCTAGTAATTCTAGTAGCTTAGAAATTGAACTTGAAATTGAATTCAGCCAAGACTTGGAAGATTCTTTAAGTTTATTGACAGCTAGATAATGTCAGGTTTGGGGATTTATTTTGTGAAACTGAGTTAAGAGGTGGTGTCGTGTTTTAGCTCAGATTGGTAGCCTAATAGACCCTCTTTAGCATAGTGAAGGCAGTTTAGTGTCAACCTCAACCGTTTAGTTGCTATCGATGCTTTAAAATTCATGCACGGCACGTTCTCGGGCTGGCTTGTAGGGTGGACGCGGTCACCAAGCTCGGGCGCTCGGTGTCACCGCGCTGGTTGCGCGTGCGCACACTGCCGCGCGTGGCCGACCGTGGCTGCCTCTAGCCTGGCTGTGGCCCGGCCGCCGCTGGCCCCGCCACGTGGAGCCACTACTGCTGCCGCCTGCCTCGCGTCGCGCCGCGATGGAGCCGCTGCCGGCGCCATCACCTCGTCGTCGAGTCTGCACTGCTGCCCTGCCTCGCGTTGCTGCTACCGACGCCACTATGACGCTGTGTTGCGCTATCGCTCGCCTTATCCCCATGCACACGTGGGCTGTCCCGACTGCCTCACGCCATCGCCTCGCCTTAATGGTGCTACGGCCGCGCATGTCGCGCCCCACCTGCCTGCGCGCGTGCACGTGGTCTGGTCACGTTGTCGCATAGCGGGTGGGTGGATGCTGCCTCGGGTCTGGCCGATCGCTTGCCGCTAAGGCGAGGACGAGCTGAGCCAGACCTTCTCCTCTTTCTCTGCCACCACGACCGGCGGACCCCGCTCGCTTAATTCGGCATGGTTGAGTCACCATCGCCCGTTTCATCACGTCCCTCACTTCTCCATTAAGCCACCTGACCCCACCCAGCCTTAAAGCGAGCATGACCAAGCTTCAATTTGGAGTTTTTCCCCGCCGCCATGCCATTAAGGCCATGGTCGAGGGCAGCCCTCCTACCGTCCCTTCCGAGCCAATTCGCCTGCACCACTAGCTTCGTCTTGCCTCCTTCTCCACCTTACGCACGCCAGTGGAACTGCTACCACCTCCCCATCATCGCTGATGTGACCGTGACGCCACGGTGAGTCGCCGCACGGCTTGGCCGCACGTGGCCAACCCTCCTCCATCATCCTCCGCTCCAACCGTCACCTCGGCCTAATCCATGGTAGCCTCCTGATGCTCATGCGCTAACCAATTAGGTTTGTAGCTACCCTAGCTCACTGGAACAGTGGTGCCGCCGTCGCGGATGGTTGCGCGCCGCTGCAGCCTTCCCCAGCAAGTCGTGTCACCCTGCACCGCCGCTTAGCGTAGCCGCTTGGGTTGGAGATGGTGACCGGCCCATTAGGTGGTCTACCATAGGTTCCAGGTGGCCGACGCAGCCGCGCTATGTCACCGACCACCGCGCCGCCGTGCACTAAGTCGCTGGGGTGTGCGCGGGGGAATTCCAGGAAAGGTAGGGGTTAAATGAAAAGGTTTGAGAGAGGGGGAAATAGTGTTAGTACTTAGTTGTAATTTAGGAGAAGTTTGAGGTCTCTTTTGCAAAATCGCCAGTGCACAGGACTTCCCCTCG